GCAGTTGCAGTTCTAATAATTCTTGCAGTTGCATTTCTCAATGTTTCTGCTAAACATGTACACGTTAAAACGAACAAATTCTGCAATTTGTACGAAGGAAAATGGGTTTTTGATGAATCTTATCCTCTCTACTATTCGAAAAACTGTCCATTTTTGATACAGCAGTTTAATTGCTTGGGAAATGGACGGCCAGATCAAGGTTATCAGAAGTATAGATGGCAACCCCATAACTGTAATCTACCAAGGTAAATTTATTACTTCAATTCGTTTCTTCACGTATCTGATGCACGAACGACTTTTTGACGATTTGACAAGTCGGGTTTTTGATTTAGTTGGAATGGGAAGGAGTTCATGAGGAGAGTTAGAGGAAAACGCATGATGTTCGTGGGAGATTCAATAAGCATGAATCAATGGCAATCTTTGGCTTGCATGATCCATGGTTACTTCCCACGTGCAGCTTACACGACGCAAAAATTGGGTCTACTGTCCACTATTCTTTTTCCGGTTTGATTAATCCCTCCCTGTTTAATTCATTATTGTACTAATAATTGAGTAATTGTGCCATAAATGTAGAGTTTTATATATGATTAAGATGTCTTTTATTTGTGTCATTTCTAACGATGGAAGGCATGGAAGTAAAGGGAAACTCGATAAGAGATATCTACTTGTGCATTCTTTGACGTCAAAGAAACCATTTTCTTTGTTCAAAATTACATACTTAAAATGAAATACGTTGTGGAAAGTAAATATTATAATCTTTTAAATGTGAAGAATGTCTTGATAATAATAGTCATTTAGCATACTAATTATATGAAATTCGCGATGATAGTTCCAAACCTCCAATGTTAGTTTCTAGAAAAAAGTGGGCTCGGCGCACAAGCTCAACATCGTCTATTAGACTACCACTAGGGGCTTGGTTTAGCCGAGGGTGGGATTCGTTACCCCATTAGTCTCCCTGTGCTATTAGTACTTTATAATTTATACTATATCCAGTGCCATCCAATATATATGTAAAAAGATTGAACTAAAATTCATCTTTTTACTCTTTCAGCAATTCAATTTCACATTGATGTACTCGCGGAATGCATTCCTGGTCGACATTACAATGGAAAACTCAAGACGAGTGCTCAAACTCAACTCGATTGATGGCAGTGCAAAACAGTGGTTGGGTAGTGACATTTTAATCTTCGATACATGGCACTGGTGGCTTCACGCCGGAAGAAAACAGCCGTGAGAATCTAATTTTTTCTTCAGGTTTCTCCAATTTTACCAGTAAAATTTTCTACTGGCTGTGTTTTGTAGTTTAGGTGTTTGGATTTTTTGCTACAGATGGGATTTGATTCAAGATGGAAAAGTGAAACTCAGAGATATGGATAGAATGGTTGCTTATGAGAAAGCCTTGAGGACATTGACCCGGTGGATAGACCGGAGTGTCGACACCAAGAGAGTTAAAATATTTTTCCAGGGTGTCTCTCCCGATCATTGGAAGTATGTAGATCTATGTTGACGTGTTTATTGTGCGGGTTTGGAAAATGTTATAGAATAAAAAGAAGTTCAAATCTTGTCCGATTTTCCGTATAGTGGAATAATGTAATTGGAACCTTATTTTTTTTTCTTATTTGTCACAACAGTGCTACTCAATGGGGCAAGCCGGAACTTCAGCGCTGCAGCGGTGAACGGCAGCCCTTCTCATCGGAGGAGTCTCTCGGGGGCCGTAACCTACCTGAGAGTGTATTGGAGGACGTGCTCGGAGCCGTGAGGAAACCTGTTCACTTGCTCAAAATCACAGCATTGTCACAGTTTAGGGTTGATGGGCATCCCTCCATTTATGGCAACCCCAGGAAGCTTGGCATGGACTGCACACACTGGTGCCTTCCTGGAATTCCTGATGCTTGGAATCAGCTTCTTCAAGAAACTCTTATAAGAGCTTGAATCAATTAATATCCTCTGATTTTTTCAATGACACTATATTTGTATATTTCATCCTCTATCCCTGATTTCTAACACTGTTTATATATTTTTAGCATGTTCTTTCAATATTTTCGGCAAACTCGACTCTGTTGTGTAGCAGTACTTGAAATCAGATATATTTCTATCATAATACTCAATTTTGATTATCGAGAAAGTACTACGGATCGAGTAATCTTTGCCACTTGGAAATCTAGTCACTACCAACTAACGAACGTTACGAACCAAAACTGCTAGTATTGGTGGTCGAGCTCCTGATGGGATAGACGATTTTTTTCTCTCTACTACGTGAAAATTCTGACTTCGCCGCTAGCTCTTCAACGAAACCAAAAGTCGATAAATAAAATTTTTAGATATAAAATTTGAGATTCCACCTTCATCAAGATGAAGACATGGGCTGCAAATTTTCTGAATAAAATCTTAATGAAAATATATCTATATTTGTCTTGTATCAATATTATTATTTTATACATTTTAAGGTAGACTAGGAAAAAGTGGTCCATTAACATACAAACTGTCAATTTTTATCTTTCTAATTATTGAGGAAAACGCGTAAAATTATGCATACAAACAAAAGGTAGGGTCCAATAATTTGACCCATTTGTACTCTAATTATAATCTGGTTTTTTTTAAAAATAAGTAATTATAACTTTATTTGTATTAAAGAGCATAATCTTGAGATTAGTGGGCTGCTTTATATATTGTCATTATTTGTTGCCGTCGGCGTTCTCCAATTTTGCTGTTTGTTCACACTGCTTAATTAAGTTTTTGTTTATTATTTTTAGTCAAAGTTCTGCTGTCAAATATTGTTGGGAGCAAACAAGAAGTCCCACATCGATTGGGAGAAGAAAAGAAATCCACCATATAACCCAAGTGGGCTACTCCACCCATTACCAATTGGTTTTGGGATGGAACCTCACTTGGGTATGGTGGAGTGGGCTTGGGCTTTGGGTAATTACTCTCAATAATTTTCTCTACAACTGGTATCAGATCCCAGGGTCGGAGGAATGCAGTTGAAAGCGTGGTGGCGATCGGGCTAAAAATCATTCGAGTTTGAGGCGCCTTGAGACGAAAGTCTGCCTGACATTGGTGGTTAGGCGGCGGGTCCCGGTTGGTCGAGGACGCCGGTAATAACGGCGGTACAAGATGATTG